ACTTCCAACAGGAAAATCCTAAATTGTTCACAAGTTCAAACTCTAAACTACCAAGATTTAAAAAAAATTAGTTTCCCACATAACAAAATGTGGCAAAACATTGAATATAAACTGCATTTATATTGGTGATTAGTAATTCATTTGACATTATTGTCATAGGAGATAAGGTTCACATTGTACCTATGTGATTAAAGTTATTGTCAGTGTGTTGTCACGTCAACCTGTATGACATGAAAAAACGTGCTTTCACTTTAAAGGAGTTGTCATTTGGGCAGGAAAGAAGTACGAAGGTTTGAAGAGAGTTTTATGTAGATTTGAAATACATTAGTCAAACTTTTTACAAGAACTAAGCATATACGAATACGTAGTAAATGTCCGAGAAATGATTGAATTCATAAAATAGGCCTTCACCCACGTAATGGATGTTGGAAAAAAAAATTAAAAAAAAATTAGTTTCCCACATAAAAAAATGTGGCAAAACACACATTCAATATAAACTGCATTTATATTGGTGATTATCAAGTCATTCTGTGAATATTTGCATTTTTCTAACATTAGATAAACTGGTGTCCATCGAGGTCAGGACACAATTGACCATCAACGCACCAAAGTCTGCACAATCCAGTGCACAAGGGACACTTGCAACAACTAAAGCAATTGAAGAGATTTGTTACTAATGACCAAATCTATGTCATTAGTAATTGAAGTCGTAAATACATTATGAATTTACTGAATACTGATTCATTGAATATTACATTGACTCCAATTCAAAGAAAGTAGCGTGGAACTAATATGTAAAGAAGACAAACAACTACTGTCGAATCGATCGGATTCTCGCTGGACATTTTCTCTTATCATGCCCTCTTTGCAAACACAAACTACAATGGTGCAATCCACTTTGTCTGGAAGTATCCATTTCGTTGTGGATGCGGCTATGTTGAGGACGACCCGTTTTAACTTCACGTTGTCGAGTTGGAATAACAAGCAAAGTTGGGTAATCATTGTCAGGCCAATATTGCTCGTGCGGCATGGGCCTAAACTTCTGTGCGAAGATACGCTTGTGGACTTCCAACCTATACTCTGGTGCAGCGAAAGGAAAAGGGTCCTCGCCCAAGTCTGCTATCATAGCAAGCATGTGGGAACATGGCAAGTGAAAAAATGTGTACTTCCCACATGAACAACTCGGTGGTCGGAGACTAACTATTTGACCACCACCACCCCCCATCCTGTGCGGTGCTGTTTTCACCTCATATTCCCCTATTCCCCTGCAGGAAAAATGTATGTACGTGGATTAATATGCATATATGTTTAACTATAGACTAACATCAATGATCGACGAGTGCGAAATGTTAATGTGTAGTGAATTCGGTGCATCCAATAAAAATTACCTATTAATTGGTACCAACATATGCACATTTGCTTTAGCTTGGTGCTCCTCAATCCATCGTTGAACATTAGTCGTGTACAAGTGACCCCGATTACTTGCATTTTCAGCAATGGTCCTGTCCTCGTCAAAATATTTCACGAGTCGATAAAAAGTTATCTCAACTGATGCTGTAATGGGAACACTGCGTGCGCCTTTCAATACACCATTGAAGCCCTCTATATGGTTTGTCGTCAATATGCCCCAACGACAACCACCATCATGGCACAATGTCCAATGAATAGGGTTCATCCGTCTAAACCACCGTTCAGCATTCTTCTCAAGCTTGTAGATATCGTCCATAATCTTGTTAAACTTCCGCATTTGCCGTGCAGAACCAGCTCTCCACACAAGATCCTTCGCTACTGTATTGCCGAATCTTTCATTGAAATTGCTACATACGTGTCGCACGCAATACCTACGGTACCCTCTTGGTTAAACTGCTGGATTGTCCCAAATTCTTGACAGGACACTAAGCAAAGCAGTGTGTCGATCGGATATCAATGTGACCCCCTCTCGGTCACGGCACACATGTCGCCTAAGCATAGTAGAACCAACCCCAACTCTCGATCATCTCTTTGTCAACAACGGCAAAGGCAAGAGGTACAATCTTGTCCACAGCAGTTACTGCAGTGGCCGCAACAATCTTCCCTTCGTATTTCCCGTACAAGTGTGTGCCGTCAATGCATATCACTGGACGACAATACTTGAAGCCTTCTATTGCAGGTTTAAATGCCCAGAACACATAGTTCATGTACATTTCAGTTCCGATTGAGGTAGAGTGCAAATTCGGAATCATGTCCCACATGACAATTGTGCCTGGATTGAATGCCTGCAATGCAGCCATATATCTAGGCAACCTTCGGTACGACTCGTCCCAGTCACCAAACACCATTGCAACTACCTTTGTCCATGCAAGCCATGCTTTCTTATACGATATAGTGAACTGAAACTTCTCCTTCACGACCTCAATTATGGTAGCAAGAGGCAATTCTGGTGATATCTGCAAATATAAATTATATTTGAATACATTACAGTCATAATGAAATCCTAAAAATAGTAATCTATCTACCATGGCACTTACCGCAATTTGTGCCTTGATGAAATGAGCAATGACCTCGGACTTGAGGTTGCAATTGTCCCTATTCATTCTAGGGTACACACACTGATGCGGCGCTTCAAACCTTCTAATTTGAAAGAAATCTTTGTCTTTCAAATTCGTTGCCCGAACCCTCCAGTTGCACCCGTGCTTGCACTCGGCCACCCAACTGTTTCCTTTGGATTCTACGACCTTGCATTCTTGATTGCACTTCAGGTTATACAACTGAACAACGTGCACTAGTCTTTTCTTATCAGTAAATATCATTCCTTTCTCCAAATGAGCAGTTTCGAAGTCCCACAATGGCCAACGTTCGACAACATCACGGCTAGTGATGGAACCATCATTGTCGAAATGCAAATTATGGTAGAAAGGGATATGGACATTTGTGTGTACCTCCTGCATATCATGATGCCCTCCAACTTCGTCATCACTGGAGTCATTGTCTGCACCTTCCCATGCGCCATCCACATCTTCCACGGAATCTTCATCACTTACTCCAACCTCGTCAAACAATGGCACTGTATCATCGGAGGATGCATAATTTTGGACAGCCGTCTCCGTTGTACGTTGAACATTACAAATCGGTGGACATTCTTCATTCCAGTGGGGATATGGGGTTGTAAGAACCATCGGATTATACGTTGTCAGAGCACTTGGACCTGCTCCGGCACTGTAATAACCATCTATGTTCTGTGATGCATTTAATTGATTGTAACTCTAAGAATGATTGAATGGAGGGTAATCTTCAGGGAACATGTGTGCAGACTGTATAAGTGTATTGTCAGGGGATTGCGATTGTGTCAACATTTGAGTGAATGTCCCACCCACCGGAATTGGCATCTCTGTGCCACCAAAATTGCTCTCCTTCTCCACATAGATTTCCAAAAAATAATCAAGGCCTAATTTATGTAGGAGCTCTAAGACATTACTTAAGGTCTCATTATCTTTGATTGGCAACAACCTATACTGCCCCCGACATGGGAGTCTACATTTAAACTCTAATCGCATTATTTCCCCATGCGTACCAACCTTCGGCACCATCATAGCCTCCAACTCGGCCAATGTTGTCCCCCTGTGCACATTATACAACCCCTGAGGTTCGATGTCGTAGGACACACCTTCATCGCGATTGCTCAAAATCTTTCCACCCCAATAGAACATAATGCTCACAACTTCCATACCTACACTTTGCTAAGCATTCATAACACTCAACATGTTCAAGTAATTAACTATTGACAATTTATTAACATCAATAAAAGTTTTTGTTTTTTTTCCTAAATATTTTCATACGCTTTCAAATCCTTTTGTTATTTCTCATGTTTTCGAAAAGTTTGAAAAGTTTCCAATTCTATTTTCATTTCCAACCTAACCGAAAGAACGTACGGAAACGAAATTTTGATCCTATTAGAGAAGACGGGAAAATTATCACATTTTAATAACAACATTTGATTTCTTTAACATCAATTTATAACCCAAGTTTGACATCACATATGCACACCCATACAGTACCATCGAACAAAGTACTAGCCAAAATTAACAACAAACAAAGAAAAAAAGAAAAAAAGAAAAAAAAAGCTTACTAAAAATAAAAATAAAAAGAAGAAAAAATAAACACTTTTTCATATTTTTTATTTTTTAGTGAAATTTTTTTTAGACTTCTTATAAATATTAAAATTTTAAGTATATTTATATTAGGTGCATCAAAATAAATAGATTTTTAATTAAAATTTAAAAAAATCAAAAATAGATGAAGACAAAAATAAAAGCTCATTTTTTTAAAAAAAATTTCTAAATTCTATTCGAATGTGTGTATTTCTTAAATTTAAATTTATCACAATAGTACCTGTAACCTCGTGCAAGGCATGGGCATTTTACCCTAGTATCTATATATCTGGCCCTAAAGGGTTGCACTCTATCACAAAAATATGGTTTTACCATAAAGTTGTGTAACATCAGTAACAAAATGTATAATCTCGTTACAAATTAGCATAATAAAATGTCCAAAATTTTGTGGTTAATGATGTAAAAGTTTTTGGCTTAGTTACGATATTAGTTGAACTAAGGCCAAAAAACATGGTTTGAAGTCTTGGAATTGGAGGGGTTGGCCACCGCTCATTGTTTTTGCTTACATAGCTTTAGTGTCTTTACTTTTTTGTTTAGCTTTTTGAGTTCTTTTCTTGCATTTTCAGCCACTGTTTTGGCTTATTAGAGATTGTTTTAGGGCTGTCCTAATCTATTTAATTGATTCAAGCTTTGATTAGTTTCTTTGTGGCACCATTGGTCTTTGTACAGAGCTTGTGTTATGTTGTTCTTAGCCTTTCTTTGTCTAACTTTCATGTTAATAACCTCATTTTAAGAATCAACTTGCCACTCCTTTCTTTCATTTGAGAGTTGTTTCAATCGCTTGACGGCCATTCAACACATGAACTAGAGGTTCACGCTCAATGGCTTAATCTCTACGGAGATTCATTATCAACAGCATAATCTCTCTTTAATGTTGAGAATTACTTTCCATTTGATGCTTCTCTCCTTTTAGAGGACTTAATCATCACTTCGGACAAATGGACCAAGGAATGGAAATGACTAAGAGAATTGGTTTAAAAGTAACCAACACACATAGAGAAAATGGGTCATCTTACTTGGGCTTGGCTAGACGCTATGCCAAGTTTATCGAGTCAAGAGTGGTCATACACTAATTCATGGCATTTTGATGATCCTTGAAGAATCTCTACTTCCTTTTTTTGAGTTCATTCCATGATAAGGAGAGAAGAGTGGTCATATCCATTGCATTCATTGATTTTTGTCGAAAATCGTATCCGAAATCATCAAGAAATCAACTTTCTCATTGATGGTTTTGGAAACAATTACAACCTTCTGTCAAGGCTTTTCCATGACAGAGAAGTGTGAGAGGGACAAACAGAGCTTGAACAACTCTGTCTGCACTGTTTTTACTTCAGAACACAAAATAGAGCTTTGCACAAAATTGAGGCACGGTCGGCCTTCTTTAGGCTCGGCCGGGCTTCATTGAGGGCCAGTGTATTTTTTACAGAAAACAGAGGGTAATAGCTGAGGTGAAACAAAGCAAGCCTGGGGTAGACAAAGCTGTTCTTGAACATTGTGCATGTGTATGTATGCAATCCATGAGCATCCTCGCTTACATTATGATCGTTGTTGTAATTAATTTAATACTGTTTATTGTGATTAGTCTTGTTAATTATTAAGTGTTGTAATTATTATTATTGTCCCTTTGTAATTATTGTAGTTAATTAGTTTAAATAGCGAGTTTGTTTGTCGTGGTTATCCTTGTTGTAATAGCATAGTTAGCTAGTTAATTAACCTCGCTTATTTATTCATTCAGTTTTGTAATAATTAGTTTAATTCGGACTTTTGGACTTTGATTCTCACCCTCTTGCACGAGGGCAATGTTGTAATAAGCTGTATGTCTTCCAACCCTACGTCTTTCTCCCTTTTACTTACTCACTTACGATGGTTAGTATAGGGCATCACATTCCATTAGCATTATTATGCTTTGCATCCATTGTCTTGCATGCATCCAAGGTTCGGCTCATCATGCTAACCCGATATCAAATGTTCAAACTCATTACTTGAATATGTGTCTTATCTCATGTCTTGAATGAAATCATATGCCATGCTCATAGCCGAGTCTGTAAAATACATAATGTGTGCGTTGCATTAGCCATATTGCACTAGTTAGGAACATGCATATTTTTATAACTCTTTCACCTTTTTTGGCTCGGAGTACTAGGTGAGCTTTTATTGCTTTAGTATGTTGCATTGAATGCTTGTGTTGCCATGTCCAAACCATGAATACCATGAGGCTAATTACTTAAATAATTAATTGTTTCAATGCCTGTGGATGAAGACTAGTTGTTTGAATTAGGATGGCTTGATTAATGTCCATTTTAGCCCACTTTTTTAAGTGGAAAATTCACAAAACAATTTTGAAACAAAACATGAGATCAAGTGTTCCAATTCTTGCAAACTATATCTATACCTTGTATGCGGATCACATAGTAAAAATAGCTACTAAATCGAAACAAGAGCATATAATGTAAATAAGAAACACATCATCATTAGTAAAGGTCGATCTTTGATCGGGTGAATGGGGTGGTCAACTCATGACCTCCCCTCTTGTACCTAAGTTCCCGAGCTGAGACACATTAGTGATGACGGAATAATGGCCTTTGGCACGAGTTTTGGGTTTTCTAAATTTTTTAAAAATATTTAGGTGGCGACTCTGTAATCTGTCAAAGCAATCCATTTTTGGCATTTAATTCAAACATTGATTTTTCAAAAAGAATTGTCAGGTTTGGACTCTTTTTTTTTGTTTTCACTATTTCACATTACACTTGTGAAATCAGATTTTGAACCACAAGTGGAGTTCGAACTGTAGGGCTATTCGTCTTCCAAAATGAGCATGAAAAGTCGGGCTACACTTAAGTATGTTATTTGTTCCAGGTACCGGAGGTTACATGATATAAATAGTGAGCGGAAGCCCAGTGAATAATAATAGATTAAAGGGTTTAAATGAATGATGTCCCATATCAGATTCAAAAACATATGTCATATTAAAAATAGATTCAGATTCATATTCTTCTTCATATCATATGCAGAAATTAGAATTCATGCTTAATCATACATGGTACATCCATTAGCACTGACAGATCAAATACAGAGCATAAAGGGTCATTGTCACACCGCAACCTGGGTATGACCGGCCGTGGCCCATAGGACCTTAGCCCAAGGCACACGTAAGCCTAAACACCAATACATAATCACATTCAACAACTATACAATAGTCTAGTAATAAATAACCAAACTCAATCTAGTGACATGCCACAAGTATAAATGGCAAAACCAACCGTAATCAATACCATCCAAACTTATGGGATATAAACAACCAACATATCAAAATAATCCTAAATGAATCTCAATAAAAATAAAAATAACTATGCATAAACTTGACATAAAAATTTAAAACAAAATAAATGAATGTCCTAGAGTTCCATGCAATTATGCCCCTCTATGCCATGAGTCCACTCTAAGTCCTTCTAACACCTAAAAATGATAAACAACTACGTCAGCTAATAGCTCAGTGAGTAGCAACATAGATAGTAAACACAGTTTAGAAAATAGGGTTCAATTCCAAAATAAGATATATATATCATAGAAAACTAGATTGGCATACACTTTTGATAAAGATAATTTGTTTCAAAAAGAAACTTCCATAGTTCAACAGTTAAAATACTCATGTCTCTCAAGAACATGATAAAATGACATTTTTCACTTAAAACAGATTACAACATGAACTCCAATAATTTTCTGGGTACCAAGAATAACAAGTAACATGCCACACAATTCTCAAGGCTATAAACCCCGTTGGATGCAATATCGAACCAAGAGTCATCCTTAGGGTGGCAACTCGGGCCTTTTCTCAAAGACGATCTAATTGAAGGTCACCTAGCTTAACCTAGGTATTTTCCTTATAATCGTTGAGCACTAGAGTCATCACGGCCCAACTCGGATCTGTTCCCTAGTGGCCAGAGTCACCACACACAGTGGAATAATTTTCTAGACTAAAATATACAGATGGTCCCAATAATCAATAC